CAGCTTAAATAATGGGCATTTATTGTCTCAAAGCTCTGGAAGCTGGACATCCAAGTCAAGGTGTTGGCCATGCCTACTGGCTTGCAGATGGCCACCCTAATGTCTTCTAACGAGGCCAGTAGACACACTGGATCAGGGCCACACCCCTCTGTTGCTCTTACAACCTTAATTTCTTCTTGGAAGGGCTCATCTTTGCATGCAGTCACCTCTCACACTAGGGCTCCAACTTATAAGAACTGAACGGGGCACAGTACAGTCTGTTGCAAAGACCAAGAAGCCTGATAGCAAGAATTGAGTAGAGGGAACCAGGTACTGGGGAGACACTGAACAATCTTGCACAATAGACCTGGAGTTAAGACAAAAACCAGACACTCCGGATTTCAACTGCGGTGATCTTCTATTCGGATCTTATTGTGGAATCAGAAGTGGATTTAGTTCTCATGAAGCTGGAGCTTGCAGAGCAAAAAGAGGAGAGCTACGCAGAGAAAGCCCCATCTGCACCTGGGTATTCAATTGCACTTGCGTAGCACAGAACTTTATAAGATTTGCAAGGGAAAGGCTGCCACGTGGCAGCAAGTTGCATGACTCCCAGAGCTGAGGCAGAGCTGAGGACTTCGGGGGACAACCAGTCAGACAACAGGTGGGGCCTGGCTCAGCACCAGTGCGTTCTCTAAAAACCTAAGAAAATGCAATGGAAGAAAACACACTATAGCATTTGTAACACGCACTGGAGTAAAACAGGTGTTAACACACAGCGGGAATCAAAGCGTGAAGCACGCTCCTGTGGCTTTCCACAGCCAAGGTGCGGCAGCTGAAGGTCGGATGTGGCATTTTAATTATGCATGTTTCCTATAAAGAATAATATATTATTATCAAGAGGTGATTGTTCCCAGAATACAAAGCTGGTTTACATTAAAAATCAATTTAGTTTACTATATTGAAACAATAGGGGGAAAATTGTGACTTTTATCTTTTTGCAAAATACTTTAGACGGGACCCAAATTCGCGAAACACAGGCCAACTACAAACACGAAGGGCCTCTCAGCCTGGACACTGTCTAAAAGCTGACATGTCCTTGATGTACCCTCAGACTCTCAGACCCTTCTGAAGGGACTTGTGAATTCTCTAATTCTGACCTTTTTTAAAAAAAATCTTTTTGACTCTTCTAAGTATTTGTAGTTTTGTATCAAATAATCTTATTTTAAGACTGATAATAAAAGTAAAGAATAAATGTGTAATTTGCACAGTGACAGACAGGCAGGCCACATGGACCGGACATGATGTGCAGGTACCAGTGAACATAATGAGCTATGGGAAAGACTTACAGATGACGAGGGTCTCCTGAAACCTGTCACTCTAGAAGAGTAGTCGGAACACTAGAGAAAGAACTGTCAAAATCAATTTTTTCAGGATTCTTCAAGTTAATTCCAAATTTGCAACAATCTTAGGAGTACTTGTTTAAGAAAAATGGTTGAATCTTGAAACTGTATCCAGAATATACAAATGACTCATGTAACTTGATGAGAAAATAAACAACCTAATAAAAATGGTAAAAAAATATTTGGAAAGGCACTTCAGTAAAGTATTACCCTATACAACCTGAAGTATACATTTCAAATAAGTGCATTTTATCCCATGCAAATTAAATCTCAGTGAAAGTGATTTCAGAGTTTAATAATAAAAGCTCAGCAACACATTTGAAGCAATGCTTTGATATGTAATACATAGGCACATGAAAAGTGGCTCAATATCTTTAATGACCGTCCAAAGGCAGATTCAAACCCCTGTGGGAAAGAGCTATATAACAGCCTGGGATGGTGTCCAAGGTGCACTCAGGGGAGGTGGGGATGTCCACACCCGGACAGTGGGGGTTACCCTGGTGTTGGCACTTGTCAAGCATTTTAAATGGGCACACTTTGTTGCACATAATACCTATCTTAGTAGAATTTACTTAAGAGGTTGATTTTAAAAAGACTAAACCTGTGGAAGATAAAACTGAAATCACCCCCCCCATAACTTCTATATAACAACGCCAAATATTTCCCCAAACTTGACATTGGAACAGTGTGTGTCCATTCCAATAGACAGCTGTCTCTGTCCAGTCTGTGGGATGTTCCCGGAAGCAGCTGCTGGAGTGCACAGAACAGAGAAGCTGCCCAGCAGAGCATCTCTCACAGCAAGATGGCCCTGGAAAGGGACAGTCTGGAAGCAGCCAACAGCCAGTGAAGGTACAGGACAGTAAAAAGCCCAAGGCTTCATTGCAGGATCCGCCAGGGAGCCGGGAGCAGAGCAGTCTCTGTTCCCCAGGGAGGGTGGATTCTGCACCACCTCCGTGGAGCAGGGGACTGGGGAACCCAGATCTCAAGGAAGCAAAGGACTCCTCTCTAGAGGGCTGCCCTGGACCAGCCCATGTCATTGTGATGATTAACCATGGCTGGCATCTTGAGAGGATCTGGAACCAGCTGACAGACCTCAAGGACATTCTGTGAGGTCGTTTCCAGGAAGCATGAACTGGGAGAAGACTCTTCTCAGAGTGGCTGCCAGATGTGAAGAGGTCTGAGGGAAAAGCAGTGCCTGCTTTTGAGCATGTCTATTTCCCGTCCTTCCCTGACATGACAGCCCAGATTTTTTTTTTTTTTTTTTTACTTCCTAGTGAGCCTAGAAGACCAGCAACTCTCCAGGAATCTGTGAGGTCCTCAGTGCCAGATTCGGACTGCTGAGGCATCCGGCTTCATGGATGGAGGCATTACCAGGATCTCAGTCTCTCCAAGCCATTGTCGGACTGCACAGTCCCTATAGTGTAAGACATTTTAGTAAATCCCTTTATAACATATATAATTCCGTCAGTTCTGTTCCGTTAGAGAATCCTAATACAGTGAAGGTCAGGGCTCGGATGCCCACTCTATTTTTCAGATGAGAAATGGGAGTTGCAGGTGGTAAACACCTTGCTCTGTGTTGGTCAGAAAGCACTTGAATTAGGATTTCAACCATGGAGCTCAGACTCAGCCCCACACTTTTCCAATGTCCCTTGGAGCTCCTCTACTCACTGATGACAGAAGATAACAGCACAGGGGAGCAAAGAAGTTGCAAAACAGGACAAGGGAGCAATGGGCAGAGTTCAGGAAACCAGAACACGGCAATGTGAGCTGATCAGAGGGCACACACGACAGGAAGGAAGTGAGCCTCCGACAGGTGAGACCCTTGCAGAGACTGATAACAGGTGAGCTCCACTCACAAGCAATCAACAAAAAACATATTTAAAAGCAGGCAAGAGACATGTTCCTAAAGAAGACATTCAGGGGCTGGAGGGATGGCCCACGGGATAAAGCGCTTGCCAGGCAAGTGTGCCGATTTGTGTGTGGAGTCCCCCAAGGCAAGTAAAACCCAAACCCCAAAAACCTTAGCACAGAGCTGCAATCCCAGCATTCCTGAGGTGCGGGGAGAGGTAGACAGAAGCAGCTTTGGAAGCCACAGGCCATCAGCAAAGAAGAGACCTCTTTCAATCAAGGTGCAAGGTAAAGGTGGACACAGGAGGTGCCCTTTGACCTCCACCCACTTTACAGGCACCAAGAGACACATACAACATACACACGTCATAAACACATATACATACATCATACCACACAGCACACACACACATACACAAAGAAGACACACAGAGACCAGTGACCAACATCACTAATATTAGGACATGAGATCAAAGCCATGCTGAACTGCTTTCTCCACACATTCAAGGTTGGCAACCATGAAACAAAACGGAAGATGACGTGGGCTGAGGCCATGAAGAAACTGGGACTCTGCACTGTAGATGGCATGTACCATGGTGCAGCTACTGTGGGGAACAACATGGCAGTTTCTCAAACATTAAAAGTACAATGGCCATGTGACATGCAGGGTCCACTGGTGAGTGTAGACCTGTGCTGGGCAGCCTCGGTTGTCAGTTGACACATCTGGGTAGAGGGGACCTCAGTGAAAGCGTTTCCTCCATTGACTGGCCTGGCCATGTCTGTGGAGCATTTCCTTGGTTGTTGAGTGCTGTGGGAGGGCCCGGCCTGTTGTGGGTGGTGCCACCCCTGGGCAGGTGGGCCTGGGTTTTATAAGAAAGGCTGAGCACAGGTCAGTAAGCAGAGTTCCTCCACAGACTGTGCCCCAGGCTCCTGCCCCGCCTCCCCTCCCTGATAAACTGTCAGCTGAAGGTGAGATAACCCTTTCCTCCCTGGGTTGGTTTTGGTCAGTGTTTTTATCACAGCAACAGAAAGTAACTGGAACAATACCACCAATTATTTCTTTTTAGCTTAAAACAAAATGAATTGAAGATGAAGAGGCAGGACCTGGCATCTTCCCTGTGCCAGAACAGAAGAGAGAGCACCAAGGGGGTCCCCAGGGCAGTGAGGGGCGAAACTATCTTTGCAGACAAGATTCTGTGCACTCCGCCAAGGTGGAACTGGTCAGAGAGTGCAGTGCAAGGAGCCATCATGAAATGATGCGGAAACAGGTGCACAGCGCTCTCCAGTGTCTCTTCCATCCCACCTCCACCCCCATATATTTTCTAAATAACTTCTTGCTGTCCACGTACCAACTGTCCTTTAACGCGGAGGCTCCGCACAGCAGCCCTTCCTGGCAGTTTGTGGGGCATGATGAAGTGGCGTGTGGGCTGCTGGTAATTAGCACCTCAGGAGAAGTCTGTCCTTGGGGAGGAGTCTGACTCCGTCCTTACCACAGAGTGCAGGCTTTGGAGTTGGCACAGGTGCAAGGCAGGCAGGCCTGAGGCTGGGAACCCTTACCTAACACCTGGAGCATCCTGGGGACAGCTTTGCTTTTGAAGTTGCCCCGGCTCCATGTCCTGCGTTATGGTTGCAATGGCGCCATCTTAAGTTTGCTCAAGGTCACTGCACGCAGACTGGTCGGCTGCGAAGCAGCAGTGCCCCTCTGTGTTTCACGCTCTGTCTTTTGAAGGTTTGCTGTAGGCATTTCTCATTTTCCTGTTTGCTTCATTTTAGATCGGCCTGCGGCAACACTTGCTTCTCTGACCTGCTGATGGCCGCTTATGGAGGCCGGGTCAGTCGTTCCGAACTGCTCCCTTTGCTGTCTGGCTCCTCCGGTAGAATGCCTACTTGAAGAAGATGGAGGCCAGGCTGCCCCAAAGCTCAGAGAAGGCGGGTGGCAGTTGAAGCAGGTAAGGAGCATGGCAGCAGTCGACACCACCCATCGCCTACCTGCTCAGGGCGGGCAGGTAGACTGGTGGGCATCACCCTCTGGGATGCCCTGCATGACAGTGGATGGGAGACACACCTGGGGGCACTTCACTTAGCCGCCCCATGCTGGGCAAGGCAGTCCTCCTCTCTTCACTAGACTCCCCGAGGGGTTGTATTGCCAACTGCCTAGCCAATTCCCACCTCCTATTCTTATCACACCATCCTCTGAAGGGGTTATCCAAATTTCCAATAGGGAATTGAGATGTAGACCGCTCTGGCTTCTTCCATGCTGAACAGGGACGCAGGGTGAAGCAATTGGAGTACCCCTTCAGTGACTCTATTTAAAATACTCCAAAATTGCATAACTCTTGTCTCTAAGGGGAAAAGAAATTCCTTGAATCATGAATAGGAGATGTGAAGGAGAAGTAAAGGCAAGAGTAATTAGCATTACAAGTTCTAGACAGGGAACTGGAAAAAAGTCAGAACAGGGCAATTTTCAAATGTTCATATGAGAGTCCATTGGAGTTTCTTGGCAAGGGTTTCCAAGAGCATCCCTCTATTGGGTTCCTCCTCATTTTTCTTTTGTCTTCCAAGGCTGGACTAGTTGGCTGGGAAGAGTGGCTGGATATTCAGGTGACGGTCCAGTGACCCTGCTTGGCCCTCCTTTAATGAATGAGCACAACCATCAACAAGCCCAATTGTGGCCATGTTTAGAGATCAGGCTCAGCCAAACTGGTGATGATGGTAATTATTTCATTCAGAAGAGACTGCTGTATAGCATTATCATATTAAAAGAACCTGGAATTTAAAAGGATTTGGTGCTAGGATCCACATAGGGAGAACATATGTCATTTGTTTTTCTGAGTCTGTGTTACTTCACTTAGTATAACAGTTTCTAGATCCATCCATTTACCTGCGAATTTCATATTTCATCTTTCTTTACTGCTGACTAGAACTCCATTGTGTAAATATACCACATTTTTGTTAACCACTCGTCAGTTGAGGGACACTTAGGTTGCTTCCATCTCTTAGGTATTGTGAAAAGACCAGCAACAAACATGGTTGTACAAGTGTCTCTACAACAGGATGAGTCCTTTGGGTATATGCCCAGGACCAGGTCATATGGTAGGTTCATTTTTAGTATTTTAAGAGTTCTCCACACTGTTTTCCATGGAGGTTGCACGAGTTTGCAGTCCCACCAGCAGTGATTGAGCGTTCCCCTTTCTCCACATCCTTGCCAGCATTTGGTATCATTTGTTCTCTTGATAGCCAATCTGGTTGGGGTAAGGTGGTACCTTAGGGTGGTTTTCATTTGCATTTCCCTAATCACTAACGATGTTGAACACTTTTTGAGGTGTTTCTTAGCCATCTTTATTTCTTCCTTTGAGAACTCTCTGTTTAAATCTTTAGCCCATCTTTTAATTGGGCCATTTGGTTTCTCGATTCTTTGTTTTTTGAGTTCTTTTTTTGTTTTGTTTTCTTTTTTGAGTTCTTTATATATTCTGGAAGTTAAACCTCTGTCAGATATTTCACTGGTGAAGATTTTTTCCCATTCTGTGGGTTTTCTCTTTACTTTCTTGGTTGTTTCTTTTGCTGTACAGAAGCTTTT